AGTCAGATAGTTGTGGCCAGGCAGTGGTGGCGCACGCCTTTAATCCCAGCACTTGGGAGGCAGAGCCAGGTGGATCTCTGTGAGTTTGAGGCCAGCCTGGGCTACAGAGTGAGTTCCAGGAAAGGCGCAAAGCTACACTGAGAAACCCTGTCTTGAAAAACCAAAAAAAAAAAAAAAAAAAAAAAAAAAAGAAGAAGTCAGATAGTTGAACTTGTGGTTATCATCTACTAAATGCGAGCAGTTCTTTGGCAGTGATGCTAGCAACAGGAGCAGTTTGCATTTTATGGTCAGCGTTTGGCTGAGCTCCAATGAAGTTAGTCAGTATTCACTGATAGGAGAGTTCGAATGAGAAAGCTCAGTCAAAATGAAATGTTGACCTGGGTAGAAAACTAGAAACAGGTCCCTGTGGCTTTCCCAGGTGCAAATTAGAGAAAGAGAAATTATTACAATAAACAACGAGGTGATTACAGCATAGAGATGCCAATATTTTATTCTGTTACAATTGGAGTCATTGAAATTCTGTAATTACAAGCCTTATTTTTCCTGGAAATAGCAATAGAATTTGTTAGTGTTAACAGTACAAGAACAAAACAACACTATGTAAGTTTAGTTAACTGTGTTTGGATAGCTTTTAGAAGAAATTTTGGTTAAACACACAATTCTAAAACAACTAACTTTGATGACAAAAGTTGATTACCTTCAATTAATCAAAATGTAAACCATTCATGTTCACCTAGAATCCCAATTTTCTCCAAAAGATGATTACTACAATCAATTTGCATTTGACAGACACTTTGAAAAAATATATATATATATATATCAGTCTCAACAGGATAGCCATTAAAATACTATTTATATATTTATGTCTATACCTGGCTTTATTCCAACAACAGCTCATGGATATTTTTCCATGTTAAAATTTTAAGACTGGCCTTTTTCTTTTTCATTTGCTACATTGCAGTCTTTGTTATGGTCTTAAATATACAAAGTACGGCAGTGAACTCCAGAATGTGCTTGGACAAGCACTTGGGTAGTGGTTCTCAAAGTGTGGTGCCCAGACTACGACACCCAGTGGTGGAGATGACATTTGAAGCCCTATTCCAAACTAACTAATAACTAGAGAGACCCAGAAAGTGATGCTTAGCAAACTGTAGTTAAACAAGATCTGATTCTTCTACGTGATAACAGTTGAGAGCAACGGCCATGTGTGAGTCCATCCCTGCTATACCATGACATGCATTTGTAAACATTACTGCACTATACAAAATTATGTAATAAAAGCCACAGAGCTTACAGGGAAGTGAGGATGGGACATACAACAATCAAAAATTTATGATTTGGGGCTGGAGAGATGGCTAAGTGGTTAAGAGGACATCTTGCTCTTGTAGAAGACCCAAGTTCAGTTGACAGCTTCCACATTGGGCTGTTCAACAACTACCTGAAACTCCAGCTCTAGGCAAAACCAATGTTTCTGGCCTCTAAGGGCACCTGCACACACATGAACATACCTACCCCACCACACACGATTAAAAATAAAAATAAATATGAAAAAAACTTATCAGTGACACATTTCAAACAATAAGTGGGTGTCTAATCAAAAGATAGCATAGTTTTTATGTGTTAAATGGACAAATATACAAATACTATAATAAAAATGTCACTTTCTCTTGGAAGTAACTGGTGTTTGCATTTGGTGTTTGGGGAGCTGCCTCTTATAAGTTACTGTGTAGTGGGAGGAGGAGAATTATCTGAAGCTGAAAGTTTTGACTACAGATGTTGTGGGTGTGACTTGTAAAGCACAAAATGTGAAGGGTATGGATATGAGCACCTTGTGTATTCCTATGTGGCTCAGTACAGGTGGTTTCTGCTTTGCTCACGGATGGAGGTGTGCATAAGCAAAAATGCAAAACTGGAGCTTTGTCCCAGAATTTCCCCACTGTATCTGTTGTGTTGGAAGAAAATTGTCTTTTCTTTTATATAATAGAACACAGTCTGTTAGAGTAGAATTGAAAGCATACATGTGTGCATATCTATCCATTACATATATTACACAGAAATTTCATGCACTGTACCATATGTCATGTTTCTACTTAGTTTATTATCTCTTAGAGTTCTCAAAACATCAAAAAGAGATTTAGTCCTTTAAAAATGCTTGCAACAACTTACTCTCCTACCATACTTCTTAAAAAATCATTAATTTTAGTTAACACAATAGTTTAATCCCTCTTCCTCACCCCCCGCCACACAGAGTGAGGAATGCTTCCCATAAATATACTGACTGAAAAAAGGGACCTTTAAAAGTCTGGAACAGGTGATAAGTGGTTCTGCAATGGGGAAACACTGAAATAAAATGAGTTTCTGAGAAAACAGAACAGACACCTATTAAAAAGAGAGAGAGAAAGAATTCCCTTTCCATTTATTTATTTCTCACTTCCACCTTTGCTAATACAACTTATCCACTTTATGAGATAAGATATTGAATTGACCCTGTTGGGATTTCCATCTATCACTCTTGCTAGTTGACATCTCCAAAAATGCAGCTTACACTGTTAATCCATTCACTTCAGCAAAGCATGCCTAAGGGCATCAGATTCTTCAGTTTATCACTATTGGGTTTCAAGGCCCTGACAAGCTGAGAAGATATAGCAGATCAGGGTGATGTGATGGCTTCAGCACAGGAGACTGGGGCCCCTAAAGAACCAAAGCTGTAGCAGTGGAGGCTTAATGCAGGTGTCAGATGTTTTTCTGTGATGAGGTTGGCAGTGGACATAACTGCTTCCAGCTGGGCACATTATCAGGCAGGGAAGCCATCATGACTGAATAATTAAATCACATTGGCTTATGATCATTGTTCTTATTAGAAAAATATCGTTGCTTTGGGGTGATTTATTGTGTGAAATGGAATTTTCATATAAACACTGTGATTTGCATTTATATGTAATATATATTTGCATATATATATCTATATCAGAATGGCTTACTAAAATCAAATCACCAAAAAAAAAAAAGAGAGAGAGAGAATGGACTATCAATGTAAAGATGCCAAAAATGTTTAAGGAAATGTAGAAATTATGAAGATTAAAGTAACATTACCCCTTGAAATTCAAACATATTTGATGTGTTTTCCTTTATTTGAACGCAGCAGGAAGAGAGAAGCATTAACTGGCTCCATCTCTGTTTGCAATTAGGTTTATGTACCTTGAAATCTCAAAGTCTGATATTATTAATAAAAAACACAGAATATAAGAGTTTTATGAAATGAGTACTTCATCTCTAAATTCAAGACTTGCTTTCCTGCCTTCATTTCCCCTGGAAGTGTCCTGGCATGGAGGGGAGCTAGAAAGTTGAGCAGAGAGCAGAGGAGCATTTTAATTCATAAAAGAACATCCAGTCTCATGGGGCCTAGAGCAGCTGCTCTCAAGCAGACAAGGACATTGCAGAAGGTCTCTTTCCCTCTTCCTCTTTCTCCCTCTTCCATCCTCTCTCTCTCCTTTGAATTCCCAACTGTAATAACTGTTAAGCACAACTCCAAGGATCAGCTCAGAATGCACAATTTAGTGGTGACTAGGAAGGGCAAAGCCAAGTGTTTCTTGCATTCATCTATATCCAAGGCCAGCTAACTAATTTGTAGGGCTCAGTGTAAAATGAAGATGTAAGGGCTCTTGTGCAGGAAGCAGAACAAATGCCACCACAAGGGCTAAAATGTAAAGCGTCATCCTCTCTTTGACTCAACAGTGTTTTTTTATTTGCCAGTTACTGCTCTTATTAGGAACACTAAAATTGTATGTCATTAGCATGAATTTTACCTTTCATCTTTGTATGCTACAGTGCAAGTCTTACATGTGAAGAGGCTCACTTTTAACTTGTGTAGGGAATTTCTAAAATGACACACTTTGTTTTTTGTAGCACATACATGGCATATTTTTTCACCAGCAAGGTAGGAATACTGCACAGAACTAATTCTGCTATTTTTATGCTACTGCTATTACTGCTACTACTACTGAGTTTACTACTTCATTTTTGGTGGTGTTAGTGCTGCTCCCCCAATACTATGCAATGCTCTATCATTGAGCTGTATCTTCAGCCTTTTATTCTTAATCATTTATCTACCAACACTCTTTACCTTTGTCTTAGTGATGAATAAGGAGAGACTAAAAGGTGAAGAAATGATACATTTCCCTTTCCTTCTATGTTACCAATTTCAGTTTGAAAGGTTGGGCAATTCAGGGAAGTATGAAGAGAAAATAAGATGGAGAACTCTAATCATTCCATTTCTTAGAATGTTATTAACTTCTTTTAGTAATCTAAGCAAATTCTAATTAACAGGGAAAACATGGCCTCCAAGTCTAGAACTGTTGAGTTCAGAATAACATGAAACTATGCTGTATCTTGCTAGACTCCCCATGTGTGAAACAATGGAAATCCTGTACTCCTTGGGTAGGATAAATACTGGTGTGCAAAGGGTACCTAGGAACAGCTGATGTGCACATCATGTGCATCTACTCTTTTCATACACATGCTTCATGACCTCCTTTGAACCCACAGATAAAACACAAGTTCAAAGATTCAATTACAAAGACGTGCGAGGCAATGACAGTAGACTATCACATCTAATGTGTTACCTTTCTTCATGTCTGGCATGTGTGGCTGCAATAGTGGGTAACTAGGAGGCTGAAACCTATGAATATCCGGGAACCTGTTGGCTATCCTGCAGCCTGTGGGTGTGCTGTATATGAAGGGGCCCATTTCACAGTAGGCTGGACTTTACCAACAGCATATCTGTATAAATTATCCTTGAAATGATTCCATGTTTGAAATAAGTATTTCAAACTCAGGTGAATTAATATATATCACCTTTAAATAGATCTCTTGGATGTACGATGGATCCACAAGGAATACAGTTTGGATGGGCTTTGGGCTGTAGCTGGAACCAGAGTCTGGATATTGAATCATCTTCCCCATATCCTTAACATTTTTTTGTTTGCTTGCCATTCTCTCAGGATTTCCAGCTGGTGAGCTGCAGAAGCCTTTCTTTTGGGGAACAGAATACCCTCGGTGAGTAAATTAGAAAAGAAACCAGTCCTTGACAAGTTAGCAAAGAAGAACTTGTCACTTTGGCCAATGACAGAATATATAGTCTGTCTTAAAGTTCCAAGTGCTGTGAATAGAAATCATGACATGGCAATTCTTAGAAAGGAAACCATTTAATTGAGGCTGGCTTGCAGTTCAGAGATTCAGTCCATTAGTGTCATGGCGGGAAGCATAGTGACATTCAGGCAGACATGGTGCTGAAGAGGTAGCTGAGAGTTCTACATCCCTTAAAGTTGAAAGTTTTTCTGAGACTCATGGCAGTCTCTTAAACAGTCAATTCCAAGTCAGTGGTTATCAGCAGAAAGAAAACATTGGAGGTCTTATTATATTAGTTTTTATTCGGTATTTGTTTTCTGATCCTTGTTACTAGAGTATTTGACTAGATGGGAAAGTCAATTTTCTGCACAGGATTTTATTTTTCATGCATTTAATCCCTTGAAAGATAATTGGGATAGAAGGAAATGGGCTAAAACCTTTCTGGGTGAAGAAACTGAAGAAAGGGAAGAAAGGTGCATTATAGAATGACAGAGGCTAACTTGGGTGGTCAAGAAGTATACAAAGAGAAGTCATGTAGAAAAGATTGTAGTTTGATATTGGAGGGCTCTGGATGTCTAGTGAGGAATTTAGAAGAGAAAATACTGAAGTTTTTGAAGAAGTGAGGTAATTAAATGTGTCGTTAGAAATATAACCAGCATAGCTGTACCATAGGTCAAAATGGACAGGTCTGGACTTAGGAAGAGTTGTTTACAAACAGATTGTAGATGCCTGTCATTCATACTTTCTCTATATAGTGGAGTTTCTCATAACATTCAGTGTCAACAATACTATTACTTTCTTATATGCCTTTATGCGGCTGTGGCATGGAAAGTTTAGTCTTGATTTTAGGATTTGAGTCACTTGTATTTACATTTTGATATATGAGAACTTTCATATGATTATGAGGATGTAGAACTCTCAGCTAAATGACATAATATTTTATACATATAAAAATCAGAGAAATATAATGGTTGTGCTTTGATTGGGCTTCCTCAGAAGCTGCCCCTGTCGCAAAGGTATAAGTAGTTCTTTTGGAATGTGGTGCCAGGAAACCCTAGCAGAAGATGGGGAGGTGAAACTGAGAGAGAAAGAAAATAATATGTTGTGTCCTCTGAGACTTCTATGGCTGGAAAAGTGAATTACCACTATAACTATACAAGCATAGAAACTGTCATTGTGTAATCCAACCTAGTTGTCACTAGGCTAAATTCAAGATGCATTCTTTTTTTGGAAGTTTTAGGGAATAAATTATTTCCTTATCTTTCTGACTTTTAGAGGGGGCCTACATTCCTTTGTCCATGGCCTTCTTTCCTCATCTTAAAAATGTCAAAATGGAATCTCCTTTGACATCATTTTTTGCCTCTTCTATTCTTAAAGACACTTGTGGTTACTTTGGACCCACCCAGATAATTCCAGGTTTTAAGGTCATCTGGTTAGCAGCCTTAATTCCTCTTTGTCATGTAACATAACACATTCACAGGTTCCAGGAATTAGCATGAGGGCACTTTGGGGAAGTCATTATTCTGCTTGCCACATATGTGTTACAAAGCTAACACACCATAATGGGCAACTGGAAATCAGTCTTGCTGGGGAACTACAGAACATGCTTCAAGATAAGGGGGATGGGTTATTTGTCCTCAAGGTCACATTCCATCAGTGGTTTAGAGGTGCAATCGTGAGGATTCCCTGGCAGTGCCCACCCTATGTGAAGGAATTTCTGGTGGCTAGAGAAACTCCTTAGGCAACTAGTTTTAAGTTGGCACTTGAGATCAGTGCACTGAGACATGCTGTATGCTGAGGGAACATAGCAGGCATCAATAGAGTCGACTGCAGGGAAACACTATTGTCAGTGAAAATACAAAATACTAGGTTTATATCTGATCAAATCCATTAGTAACCCCTGATCCTTAACTGAATAGCTTTCTTCACTATTTGGGTATTTGGATTCTGTTTTTTTTTCCCCATGATTAGGATTAGAAATGTATACACTAAGTTCAGAAAAATTAAAAGTTTAAGTAATTCTCTAAGGTCTCTTCAAACTGAAAAAAATCCTGGCATTCTTTGATTCTGTTTATCATAGATATTTTAACTGAGTTTTCTATTGTTATGTAACTATAACTGCACACTTGGAAATAGTCTGGTTATGTTTGGAAGTCATTGATTCAATAATTTGTTTATTTGGTCCATGGGCAGGGGATTTTTATAAAAACGTATGAATCAGAAACTTAAGAATTCTTGTTACTGTCTGCTAGTACTACCTCAGTTTGAGCCATAGTTGATACTTGAGTGAGCCACCCACTTTCTATTAATATATCACTTCAGTGAATACCTGTTAAGCATAATTTGCCTACTTTGCACTGGGAATATAGAAATGGTAGAAATTACAGTTCAGTGAGCTGGCTTCTCGTCTATTTTCTCTTAATTGATGGATAGCTACTAGAGCTAAAGGAATAGGTATCTTTTTGCTCAGGCTGCTCATTGTAGCCTTCCTGTGAGTGTTGGATCTAGTTGTGAGGCCAGAAACAGGCCAAATCATTTCCAAAGGCAAGAAGCCGGAATGTAAATGACCTTATACAGCACGATCCCCAAGTGTTCCATGAAACTGTCATCTTCTCTTCCCTCCCATTATCTTCATTTCTCAAGTTCTCTAAGAAATTTATTTGGATATGTTTAACCCCAAGGCTTGATGACTCTGCTTTCTATGTTTTGGGGAAATACTGTTCTCTAGTTCATGACTGAAAAATAAGAACATAGAAGAGAGCTCACAACATGGCTTAGCTGTTAAGTACACTGGTTGCTCTTCCAGAGGATCTGGGTTCAATTCTCAGCATCCACATGGTGGCTTACAATGACCCTTGTGGGTACCAGGTACAGACGCAGTACACAGACATGCATGCAGGAAAAAAAAAAACTCATACAGATAAAATAAATAGTTTAAAAAAAAGAACTTGACAGAACTTGGCAATGTACAAATAAAATAAAATAAATAGTTAAAAAAATAGAGCTTGACAGAACTTGGCAATATTTGTGGTTGGAGTTTGCAGGTTTTTTTTTTCTTTTTTGAGGCCTCAAAGTTGCCGGTCTAGCAGTTTCTATGTAAGTAAGGCTGGTCTTGAGCTTGTGATCATCTTGCCTTTCCTCTTAAATGACAGGATTACAGACATTATGTGTTTTGTCTTTTGGAAGGAAAATTAAGTGGCCAAATGCTTTTCTGTGTTTAGGGCAGTCAGCAAGTGTTCAGCTAGTGACTGTACTGGACCAATAGGTTGAAAGCACAGTTAAGAAACTTTCGATAAGCATGTAGAAGAAACCTTTTGTTTGGAACTACCCTAAGAGGTAATAGATCACATTAGAGAAGCGAGCTCCTAATCATTGGAAAGATGCAAGCAGATGTCTTTTTGAATGTTTTACTGTTTGGTTGGTTGGTTTGGGTTTTTTTTTAAAACAGGCTTGACATGTAGCCCAGGCTGGTCTCACACTCCTATCAGTCTCTCAAACGCAGTGCCAGGATTCTAGGTGTGTGTTCCTATGCCCCACCTTAAAAATGTTTTGGAGATACAATGTTACTAAGTTGTTCAGGCCAGCCTCTAACTTTTTTTTTTTTTTTTTGGTTTTTCAAGACAGGGTTTCTCTGTGTAGCTTTGCGCCTCTCCTGGAACTCACTTGGTAGCCCAGGCTGGCCTCGAACTCACAGAGATCCGCCTGGCTCTGCCTCCCGAGTGCTGGGATTAAAGGCGTGCACCACCACCGCCCGGCTAACTTTTTATCTTATTCTCTCTGACTCCCAAGTAGCTGTTAGGAAAATTGAACAGGGTTTTACAACTCCTTTCATCTCAGAGCCTTTTTATGATTTTCAGATGCAGGAGTAGGGTAGCCCATACTTGATAACAGCCTGAGGTCATGGTGAGTCCAGATTGTTTATAATTGACAGCAAATTTCATGCATGTGTTAAAGCCCTCAGATAATAAGAGAAACTGAGCAGGTAGTCAAGTAACACTGTTACCTTCTCCTTCTGGAGCACTCTATTTTTTTTTTGTATGTTTGCTTTTTGAGACAGGGTTTCTCTGTGTAGCCCTGGCTGTCCTGGAACTCATTTTGTAGACCGGGGTGGCCTTGAACTCAGAGATCCATCTGCCTCTGCCTCCCAAGTGCTGGGAATAAAGATGTGTGTCACATCTGCCTGGCCAGAGGGCTCTATTTTTAAGGCAGGGAGTCTTCCAATTTCTGCCAGTTGTATTCTAAGAGGCACATGAGTTGATTTTTTTATAGTATGCTAATTTAAACAATTTCCATTTAAAAAATAGAAGACTTAGCTGGGATTGTCCTTGTGGTTTCCTGGGAATTTCCCTAGCACCAGGTTTCTCCCTAACCTCACAATGGCTCCCTTTATCAAGATATCTCTTTCCTTGTTCTCCCTCCCCCAGCTTAACCATCCCTGTCCCTTTCCTTCATGTTCTTTTGTCACTTCCCCTAATCTCCTTCCCCTCCCCACCATGCTCCCTGTTTACTCATGAGATCATATCGATTTCCCCTTCCTAGGAGGATCCATGTGTGTCCCTCTTAGGGTCCTCCTTGTTACCTAGCTTCTCTGGGGTTGTGGATTGTAGCCTGGTTTTCTTTGCTTTACATCTAATATCCACTTATGAGTGGAGACGGTCCCTGAACTGGCCTTCTCCTGTAATCAGATCGATGACTACCCTAATTGTCATCATAGAGCCTTCATCCAGTGACTGATGGAAGCAGATGCAGAGATCCACAGCTAAGCACTGGGTGGAGCTCCTGGAGTCCAATCGAAGAGAGGGAGGAGGGATTATATGAACAAAGGGTCAAGATCATGATGGGTTCACCGAGATAGCTGACCCCGAGCTAGTGGGAGCTCACTGACTCTGGACTGACAGTTGGGGAGCCTGCTGGGGAACCTGCATGGGACTGAACTAGGCCCTCTGAACGTGGGTGACAATTGTGTGGTTAGGTCTGTTTGTGGGGCCCCTGGCAGTGGGACTAGGATTTATCCCTAGTGCATGAACTGACTTTTTGGAGCCTACTTGCTATGGAGGGATGCCTTGCTCAGCCTTGATGCAGGGGGGAGGGGCTTGGCCCTGCCTCAATTTGATATGCCAGACTTTGTTCATTCCCCATGGGAGGCCTTACTCTCTCTGAGGAGTGGATGAGGGGGGTAGGGTGAGGGGAAGGTGGGGAGTGAGCAGGAGGGCAGGGAGGGGGAACTGTGATTGGTATGTGAAAATGGAAAAAAACTTTTAAGTTAAATAAAAAAATAGAAGGCATCTATGTAATATTATAAAACACTATCATCATAAGGTTTAGCCATACAAAATTACTTTTTCTTTTCTCTTGTCTAAGGGATTATGTTTCTGTAACTGAGAATTGAGACTTACAATGATTCAATCATTTTTTGAATTCCCTGTTATCCTTGCAAATAAACTTTTTGGGGCAGTCCTTCTTAAGGACTATTTATTGCAGAGTACTTTCTATATGTTTCCATTCTCCATCTCTTAAATTTATCCAGTCAATAGTCATAGAGGGGTGTGGAAGACTAAGAAATCTGGGAAATCGAAATGTGGCAGGTCACACAGTGCTAGCTACTACTGTAAAAATTAGCACCGTGTGAAATTACAACTTTGTTCTACATAGGCTATGATAGCTCTATGATTGAAATGCGCCATTTTACTCTTACTTCTTTAATGAAGGTTTGCAATGATGGAAAAACCGTAGGAAACATTTTTTTCAAATGCAAATTACCTTGCAGGAAAGAAATAACAAAGGAAAGAATTGCCACCAAGGGGAAAAATTAAATCTTCCAGCACTTCCTTGGGTACAGTTGAGATAAACAATTAGCATGTTAAGGATCATTACGTCCTGTAATAACATGTTGCTTCGAAAAATCCTGTTCTTTCCAGCTTTGGTCCTGTCTGATTGCTGGATGACTTTGATGTTGTATGTCAGGAACCAACTGTGAAATATTTTTGGCATAATTACAAATCTTACAATAAAGAGTTTAAATTGTCTATAATTTTTACCTATAGGTTAACTGACTTAAATAATTTCCATATAAAACATATCCCTTACATGTCATGGAAAGGCTAATTAATCATGAATTAAATTGCTGTTTATTTTCTCATTATTGTACTAGGAACAGAGAATTTAGTGGTAAATGAATAAGGGGAGGGCTTGGTCTTCATGGAGATTGTGCTGGAGAGAAATTCCTAGACACATGCATTTGGAAAGCTCATTGATTTCCTCAACTTTTGTGTTTGTGCATCGCTCCAGTTATCTATGCTGTATAATAAAGCACCAAGCAATAGCCATTTACTGGCTCAAAATTCTATGATTTGGTCTGGGACTGTTCCACTGGGCTGGACTCTTTAGAATGCCTTCCCTCCCCTGCTGCTCTTCAGAGTCCCTTACGCTTCTCCATTGCTTTACCAGGCCTCTTTCCCTTCAACCAGGCAGTCAAATTCTTTACGTTATTGCTAACTTGTGGAAAGGCTGAAGGTGGAAACTGCAAGGTGTCTTAAGGTCTAGTTCCTGGAGCCTCTCTCAACCCTTACACTATATTCTGTTGGTCACAAGTCTTGAGGCCAGTCCAGACACAAGGGCAAGGAAACAGATCACATCTTGGTTGGAGGAAAGGGAACATTTATATTTAAGGGTAGGTGGAGTTGTTGGTGGCCACCCTTACAGATAATCTACCTCTTGCTTCTTCAGAAGTGAAGAAAAATAATATAACACTTTCCCCAAATCTGATTAAGGCTTCACAGTCTTTGCTATTCAGCTGTCAGCTTGTCTGCCACAGAAACAGAGGAACGTGACTAACTTCCAAACACAATGGTTCCTTTTAATCTCTGCTCTATTCCTTTTTTTTATGACTACATTAGAAAGCAATTTGACTTCTATGATTGCAGCACATTTTCAGATAAAAATAGTATATTTATTGTTTCAAGCTCTGTTTTAGGTGTTCATAAACACAAACTATCACTGCTACAGATATAGGGCCACAGATGTGTTAAGGCTGGAAAGGACTTCAGAAATTTTGTCTTTCAAATCCCTCATTTCACAGAGTGGGACACTAAGGCTCACACAAGGTCATAGTGACAATGTTAGAATTTATACTGCTTTGTTTTGATTAGAGGGGGATGTTTAGAGAAATTGTTTTATACTTTTATGGGTAAGATTATTTGATCCTTTTATTACTACTGTTACTAGAAAATAGTTTATTATCTTGGCTTTTCACTAAAAAATTAAAGGGTCATGCTCTCAGATTCATGCCTGTAATTTTTTTCAAATTGTCTATTTATGACATAGATCCTTGAGTTATGGTGCTATAGGAGTAATTGTTGGACATGAATTTACACATGGATTTGATAATAATGGTAAGTACTAGTTCATTTTACAAGCTGCTTCTTTTATAATAATGTTGATGGGATGGTGTTAATTGTTATTATCTTCTCATAGTGGCATCATCATAGACTGAAGATTGTCCCAAGCAATATGATTGCTGATTGAAAACTTTTCTCATGTTTTGCTGTGATTACTTGCAATAAATAACTCTTTCAGTTGGTGATCAGGGTAAAATGAAAAAAGAAAGACTGTAGTTTCCGTGAAATCACCTTTGCATTTGGAACAGGATTTCTGGAGCTGCTGCAGTGGCTGCAGGAATTGCACTGTAGCTTTCCCTGTTCACTGCTGTTTTCCTCCTTACCATCTTAGGTTGTTTTCCCTGGAGGTGTGAGCTCTGCCCCTGAGATGATTGTATGTGCTGCTTAATTAAGAAGTTAGCCTGGGGAACTCGGCTGCCTGATTGCTTTGTATAATTTCAAGTGCTTCTTTTCTATTTTTCTTTCTATTGGCATATATTCAAAATTAATAACATACAAATATGCTCTGTATCCTGATGGTATTTAAGCAAAAGGGAAAGGCAAGATAATAACAAACAACTAAAACTTTCTCCTTTGAGAGTCATCATTTTTCAGTTTATGACATTTATTTCTGTGTGTGTGTGTGTGTGTGTGTGTGTGTGTTGCAGAATTGATTCTCTCTTTCCCATGTGTGTCCAGAGTATTGAAATCAAGTTACCAGGCTTGGTGGTAAGTGACTTTACCCACTGAGCCATCTTACTGGGCCAAAAGTTCTTATTTTAAATTATTATTATTATTATTATTATTATTATTATTATTATTTTTACTTACAGAGTATTGTTGGACAATCTCTCTCTCTCTCTCTCTCCCCCTTCCTCCCTCCCTCCTTTCCTTCCTCCCTCTTTTTCTCTGAAATAGTATCCAGACCAACACAATTTGTAGACAGCCTTAAGAACCTAGCAGGCCCCATGCAGTAGTATATAGACAGGAACCTCTTTCTGTAGTTCCTGTATTGTCCCCAACATCCTTTCCTGGATGACTATTCTGGGATAAGAAGACTTCATTTTCTTCTTACATCTCACCAACCCTTCCTTAACGCCTGCCTTCCTGTCTCTTCATCTCCTGCTCCTCTGGTCTCCCACTACCTGTTAAAATGTACATCCTTTTTGCCATTGGGTATTTAGTTTACCTAAGAGAAGATTCTTAACTAAGAAACAAAGGCATGTGGTGCTCATTGGTTCTGGGCCTTTCTTCTGAGGTCCCTCCCACAGGATAGAATCTAATGTGGCAATTTCATCCTGTCAACAATCAATATGTAACACAGTGTATTGCACAAATGAGTATATGACCAGTAATTGATGACTGATGTGTTAGTGGGTATAGGACAGTGACTCCATTCCTGGGGGTAGTGTTAGTAGCAAGCAACCTTGCTGGAGAGCTTTGGGTTGATCCAGTGAATGCTTTTGCGAAGGGGCTTCCCATGTAAGCCCTTTCTTACAAGTTCTTTCTTTGGAGACTCTTGTGTAGGGGGCTTTCTGTGTAATTAAATTAAAACCATGCCTTTGATTCTAGTAATAACCTTGAAAATAGAATAGTTACACCCAAATTGTTGTTTTGAAGGGTATAGAGAAGATGAAGAATGAGAGACCATGCAGCAAGAAAAGCTAAACTTTCCCCTCCCCCAGTTACATTCTGGAGATTTCCATTCCAGTTCCAAGTTCTCTTTTTAGAGCAACATTCCTCATCCAAGCAGGACAGATGGGTCTTCTATCCACACTGATGACTGTGAAATGATTCATAGCAGAGGGTTTATGTGTCTCTTCGCTCCTGGCAACTTAGAGGAAGCAGGTTGCTATAGGGCTGAGTCAGGTTCTGTGGTCCTATGGTTTGGATGACTCACTGGCTGTTCCTATGGATTATTTGGAATTTCACTGGTAGTGCTACTCCAGTTCCCTCTGATTTTTGAATGAAGGAAACTAATTTTGCTTGCCAGAGAATGTTTCAGGTCAGAGGAGATGAAAACAAGGAATTCAGGATTGGATGAGACTGGTACACACGTTAAATTGATGAATCTCATTTTGAAAATGCCCTTTGTTCATTTCAAGGAAAGAACTCCCTCAATTCTTTGCCTCTCTTCCCTGCTTTCTACAATTAATCCCCGACACTGGAGGTGACATGGGAGCTGATCTCAGAGACAGCATCCAGTGCTGTCAGGACTGCTTTGGAAAGTATGTTCAGGTGAAAGAAAGGAAAGATGGCGATTTCAGCTTCTGTAAAGTAATACAGAATTCTTGTAACTTTCCTTTCCGCTAGGTAGAAAATACGACAAAAATGGAAACCTTGATCCTTGGTGGTCTGCGGACTCAGAAGAAAAGTTTAAGGAAAAAACAAAGTGCATGATTAACCAGTACAGCAGCTATTACTGGAAGAAAGCTGGCTTAAATGTGAGTACAGCTGCGGTTGGCGGTGGTGGGGGGCACCTTGTGGGCCATTTCTCCTCATTTGGACATTAGCTTGCTTTAGACCATTGGTTCTTCAAGCATGCTTCTGGGATTCACAACATCTGCATTCCCTGGGAACTTGTTAGAAATGCAAATTCTTGACTCCTGCCCAGACCTACTGAATCTCTAGGGGTGGAGTCTGGTACACTGGGAATCTGTCATATGCCTTCAGGTAGTTCTAGCAGACTTGAATTTGGAGACTCACAGGCCTACACATTAGTGACATCACAAATCCCCTAGCACAGATAAACATTAACATTCTTAAAAATCTCATACATTTCATATTGTGAAAAAAATCCACCATTGTTAGGTTGGATTAACAGAGATAACATCGCATTATTTTGAACCAAAAGGTCTGAGAATTAATTCAAATTTTTAGTTAAAGAAGTTTGAACAAGCCGGGTGGTGGTGGCACATGCCTTTAATCCCAGCACTCGGGAGGCAGAGGCAGGTGGATCTTTGTGAGTTTGAGGCCAGCCTGGTCTACAAAGGGAGATCCAGGAAAGGCGCAAAGCTACACAGAGAAACCCTGTTTCGAAAAACCAAAAAAAAAAAAAAAATGTTTGAACAAAAGAAATGTACTTTTGAAATATTTGTGTCATATGAATGTATATAGTTTTCCTCCATGAAGACAAAATACAATTGGATACGTGCTTTGAAGACGTGAGATTTTGTTCCTTTCCTTTTTGCCTTTGTCTTCATCACTTTTCCTTTTCTCTCTTATCTTCCCTGCCTAAGGTCAGCATTAGGAACCCTGATACACTTTTCTCCTGCGTTCAGGTAAAGATAGACACACACACGGCTTTAGTTAATTGATTTCGGTGATGGCCTAAGAATTCCTGGTGTGAATATACCATAGCCTAGTCAACTAATCTCTTACCCAGGGGTACAATTTTAAGTTAGAAATGCCGATGCAATAAATACCTTATTAAGTATATATTATTTTTTTCCCTGTAGGACACATTCCTATTGTCACCAGAATAAAATTTCACATTTCTGAAAGGGATAGATTAAAGAATATATATCTATGGAACTTTACTTTTCTTGTTAATTTATAAAAGCCTTTTAAAATAGCAGGGATGCTAAACTTCTGTTATTCACATTATATGTATCTCCCTCAAGTGTATTACTTATCCTTTAAGATTTTTTCCTGTGGTATCTTTGACACATAAAATCCAAACATTTTTAAAATTCCAGGATACCATATGTCTCTTCAATTCCCCTTTTGTCTTTCTGTTTTGGCCCATGAATATGTCTCCTCTACTCAGATTAGAGAGGAAGGAAACTGTCTTTGCTACCTTTGTCTCTTGCTATGGTAAGAGACTACAACCAAGGCAAAAGAAAGCATTTAATTTGGGCCTTCCAGTTTCAGAGTATTAGAGCTCATGACTATCATGGTGGGGAGCATGGCAGCAGGTAGATAGGGTTGGTGTTAGAGGAGTAGTTGAGAGCTTACATGTTGAGACAACAGCCACAAGACAGAGAGAGGAGAAAGTGAGAGAGCAAGGGGGCAAGAGAGCAAGAGAGTGAGAGAGAGTGATTCAAACTAACTGAACAGGCTTTTGAAACTCCAAAGCCCATCCCCCAGTGATATACCTCCTACAACAAGGTCACACCTCCTAATCCCTCCCAAACAGTTCCATCAGCTGGGTCCAAGTGTTCAAATATGAGCACATTCAAACCATCACAGGAGCCTCTTCATTTTTCCCAGGAAAGTTTTTTTTTAATTGTTCTGATATTTTACATTTCAATCTTCATGAATGTGAAATTTATTTTTCTGTGAAGTTTAATATGAGAGTTCACTTGCTGTAGAGTCTAGGTTAGAGTTTAGAACTGTATGACTCCAGAGTCATACTCACATGTGTCCATAGCATACTCTCATTCTCTTATTTTGTTTACTCATATATATGAATATATTCAAATACATATATTTAGTTTTGTTCTTCAGCATCTATTTTGTTTGCCCAAAGTGTCAGATACTGAGATGTAATTTTGAAAACATGTATCTTTGCCACTAGGACAATGATCATAAGAGCATATCTGTCTCAGTATAAATTCATTCTACCATCAGATAACAGCTTCAGTCTCATTCCCATAGAAGGGCTGTGTGTGTGTGTGTGTGTGTGTGTGTGTGTGTGTGTGTGTGTGTGTGTGTGTGTGTGTGTGTGTTTCCTTTGTGGACATAAGTGGTCAGGCTTTATTTTCCAGATTTTATTTGTAAGAGTCAGTCCCTCTGTGCCTGAATTGTTCTTTGCAGTGACAAGGGAAAAACTCAGTTGGGTCACCACAGATGCAGAATGTTAGCAGCTAGTGTGCCTGGAGAGGTCAGACCTGGTCTCATGTGCTCTACTGTGATGGCTCAGAGTGTGAGGAGTCAAGAGGGATGGGCTACTCCAGAAGCTATAATTTAGATGTAAAGTTTAGAGCAAAAAATAAGAAGAGGGATTCAAGCATGAGTGTATATAAACATATGTAAGAAAAATTGAGGCATGTGCCTACAACGTAAGCTCCAGAAAAAGAGATCTACTTGGGCTTGAGTACCTGACGAATGTGAGCATTTTTTCTTAATTATTCTGTCTTAGAACAACTTCATTATAAGCAAAACCCAAGAAGGGTTTCCTTAGGTGAGTGAGTCATTGAGAAAGTCATTTTATGAGAAACCTGCCATTGGCTCTGAGGGAAGCTGAGCTTTACTCTTGATACTAAATAGGGTTCTGGAGAATGAATAGCATCCCAGAAGTTATTCAGCTCAGGGGCAAGGGGTTGGGCAGCTCTACTAGCACATTAGTCAGTCACTGGAAGAAATGGCTGCAGAGTCTTGGTAGAGAAGGGGAACCACTGGATGGCCCTGAAAATTTTATTTATACAAGTAACTTTGTATGAACTGAGCAGGTTATAATAGCAATTAGAGAAACAGAGTCCATGAATTTGAGAGAAAGCAAAAGGGGGGGGAGTGTGTGCATGGGAAGGGCTAGAACTAGGAAAGGCTTATGATGTATTATATTTTAGTTTCAAAAACTAAAAAAAAAAATAAATCCATGAACTGCTTTGAGGTTCAGATGCTTGTTTGTTAAACAAAGGTATTGACAATGGTCCTCACCTCATTGGAATGTAGAAAAAGATTGTAGACAGTCAGAATGGCAACTTTGGGAGACTAAAGCAACGGATGGTGGGGGTTCTTGGTGATAACATTGAATCTTGTTTCCTTAAGATGTATTTTTATTTGTTAGTATCACCTGATACATCAGTAGTTGCGCTAACTTAAAAAGGAAGTCATTGGTAGGGTCCATGGCCTGGGAGTTGTATATTAATTTCCTGTTGCTGATGGAGCAAATTACTATGAACTTAGTTGCTTAAAGCAATACAGATTTATTCTCATAAGATTCTGTAGATCAGAAGTGTGACACAAGTCTCAGTGGCCTAAAAGAAAGTGTCAGCATGGATGTCTTCCTTTGTAGAAGGTACTGGGGAAGAGTCTGTCTTCTGCAGTTTCAAAGTTTTTGAGGCTATCTTACATTTCTTGGCTCATGACCCCTTCCTCCTTCAAAGCCAACAATGTCCAGTGTACCACTCTGGCACTCTCTTGTCTTCCTTTTCCTTTTATAATTACATTGAGCTTATCTGGACAAACCAGGATAAGTCAGTAAATCAGCCTCCCTCTCTTTCTCTCTCTCTTTCAATATCCTTGACTTAATTACATCTTAAAAGTCAGTTTTGTCATTGTAGGGTAACTTATTCCTAAATGCCTGGGGATTTTGATGTAGATGTCTTTAAGAAGCCAATATTCTGCCTACTATACAGGGGTTGGTGAACCCTTAAGCTAAATAGTAAATACTGAACTGTCCTTGTAGCAAGAAAGGAAACAGACTCTGTTGTCTTTGGCTTGTGGGATGTATAAACTTAGACTTTCTATCCTAGCTCATTTATGGTTTTAAGAAACAGTTGAGAAGAATGTCTCCCCATGCTTGGCTGGGTGTCATACATATTTCAAACCTTGACCTTGTAGTCTGTACCCTTTCTGTTTGATTTTTTGTTCCCCCAAGAGAACAACTTATATTTTAATGTTTCATAGGAATAGCTGAAGGTAAAATGATAACGGTTGGTGCTGAAATTTTGTTCCTGTGTGGATGGCAAATTTTTAGAGACATAGGGACAATGAGAAAAAGACTCAAATTATGTGAGTTATTCAGAGGAAGTCACCTGGATATTGACATTTCTATTTTTCCTATTAAACTAGAGCCACTGAGACTAATGTTAACATTTTACTGGCGCTGGCTCGATTGATGAGAATGAAGAGGTGGGTGAGAAAGTAAAGCAGAGAGCAGTGAGATAGAAATGTCTCCATTCAGGAGCCCCTTGCTGGGGCTAGTTTGCCATCCCACAGCACATCATGTCTACTTCTGAAAATGTAATTTTCTTCTTAAAATATGACGTGTTTGCGTCTTATAATATTTACATGCCTTTTGCTGAATGCCAGTTGACTGTGGAACACTTTCTATTTTTCTTCCTCTTAGGTGAAAGGGAAGAGGACCCTGGGAGAAAATATTGCTGATAATGGAGGTCTACGAGAAGCTTTTAGGGTACTCACCATTACATTTACTGGGCTTTAAAAACTGCATTGTGGAAGCATGCATGGGTGCACTTCAGTGTATAGTACCAACATGGTGTTGAAGAATATGACATTTTGGATTTTCTAAAACACATTTGTGTTTCTACATGGACTCTGTTATACTCTAATAGATATGTAGAGCTGCATTTTCTTTTTCTTTTGGAGTATTGAGTCATCCTAAATAATAATGGTTATTAAGAATTGTATATTTAAAATTTAGTTTACCGATAATATACTCAGAATCATATTAAAGAATGCCACAGGACTCTCCTTGGGGCTAAGTTCATGTGAATTTTCTTGAAGTAAAGTTTTCTCTCCATCCTTCCTTATCATTTAACATTAAGCCTCAAACTTCTAACTTATTCTGGAGGCTACTCATTCTCATACATTGGGCCAGTGAAAGTCCATAAGAGTGTTTACACCATCTCTCAGTGTGTAGTTAAGAAATAAACATAACGATAACATGGACAGATTTGCATAAAACTGAAACTGCATACATTTAAAGACCAAGTTATGATTCTAAAGTGTTATCTTTTCTATATTCTACTTAAAACAAATTTTATTTTACTAAGTGATAGTATAAAAATGATGATATGCTTTCTTGTTGATAAAATTTTAAGAGTACTATGTTAATCCCACTCCAGTTTATTACTAAAGCAGTTGTATATGGTGTTAAATTTGTTTGTCTCTCCTTGGAATGGAAAGAACACATTTTAAAGAGTTACTTAATATCTGATCACTGTGGCCCAGTTGCTTTGTTATGCATAGAGTATAAGGTTCCCCTTTGTTGTTTTGCTTTTGTCTTCCCAGACAGAGTCTCACTCTGTAGTCCAGGCTGACCTCAAGCTCATGGCAATGTTCCTGCCACAGCCTCCCAAATGGGATGGGATGACAGATATGTACCACCATGCTTGGGTAGCACCGTAAGGTATAAAGTGCTTTATCAGATGCACCTGTTTTACTATTAGGCAAAATGGCACTGGGTTGCATTTCCAGGTGTTTGTTTTCATAAAGGAAAACCCAACACAGTGCATTTTACACATGGTAGGGATATGTATTTAATGCTTTTGTGTTGAGTATGAAGAGAGAAGAATTGTCATTGATGAGTGTCACCTGTTCTGCTTCCTTCACTAGGCTTACAGGAAATGGATAAATGACAGAAGACAGGGAGTTGAAGAGCCTCTCCTACCAGGCATCACATTCACCAACAACCAGCTCTTCTTCTTGAGTTATGCTCATGTGAGTAAACTGAGGAAAGGGCAAAAAGATGAAAATATATGCCCTCAATCAAAGGTTTGGAAGAAAAGTTCACTGGTATGACTTTGACCAAAGCCACCACTTAATCTTGTGTCAGCACTGGGTCAGCTATAGTAATAGTACCAAAAAAAAACCCTCAAAATAGTGTTTCCTTGTTAGAATGGACAAACAGGACCAAATAAAAGCCCATGTTTTGTTTTTATTTATAAATAATAAATCATGTTTTGATTGGAAAAAGGCTACACTCTGTCACTTACACGTGGTCTGTGGTTACTTTGTGTTACAATGGCAGAGTTGAGTAGTTGAAACAGGGACCTTATGGTTTTCAAATGTTCAAGCATTTATTATCTGTCTTTTTCCAGAAGAATTTGCTCAGCTCTGATCTAGAGGACCAAATACAAGGATCCATCTGTTCCTACTACTTATAGTATAGTCCATAATAACAGTTTGTAAATGAAATAAACTAATAGAGAGAGATTCTGTGATTAAAATGTTTCGGATGTCTTCAAATACAACATTTTTGTCAAACTGAAGAAATTCAGGGCTAAATGAGTAATCCTATTTTTTTTTAAAAATCACCATTGAGAAATTTCTCTTCAAGCCCCTCTTCTTACAGAATGAAGAGATTTTTCACTCTTTTGTATATTGGAGGAAGTCTTTTTATGTGGAACATGTTGTTTTCTATCCTGGAAAGGCACTAGAGAACAGTAACAACCATAATGTGTTTTCAGGAATCTCGTAAATGATTATGAAACATAGTCAATACTATATAATAATGTAAGCAAAGTATATAAGAAAAAATAACCCAAGAGATGAGGTAAAATCGAATGTGAAAAATAAGCTCACATGGGCTAGCTTCTGAGGAAATTAAGGAATTTCATTCCAAGAACATCTTTAAAAACATATTCATAAATATAGTGAGAGATGATCTGTCATTATCAAAATAGCAGTAAGCCATTAGCTTTCCTGCCCTCTCTGTGACTATGGTTGCTATGACTTGCTAGTTTGTTTCTCATGCTTTTTTTCATGCATTTTTATACTTCTGGTTCTTCCAATGTCCATTTCTACTTATTTAGTAGATGTTAACAGCCTTTATCTAACTAATCTCTAATTTCTTCCTTTTCCTATATATTTATTCTGCCAGATAAATCCTTCAAAAATATTGTTTTATTTTTCTGTTCAAGGACAATGTTTAAACATAGTTGTAGCACTTAGGCCTGCCAATTAGTACTTCAGAAATCTGGCGTGAGCCTTTCTCTCCCCTGGTCACTCTCATTGATGCTCAACCAAGCTTGAATGTCTTTCCCATCTCTTAATCATTTTTAAATTCCCCTTTCCATTCAAATGCTTTCCTATATATTCATGTATCCTAGAAGTATTCATAGTTCAAGATTATATCATGTTTCAAGGTGTATTTAAACCAGTATTAAGTAGGTTATACCTCAGAAAGAAACAACATAGTGAAAGCATATTTCTTGTTCTTGCTCCATGTCTAGCATGTGTCATTGTTGGAGCTCTGCCCATAGTTTTTACTCAAGGAATTGGGTTTTGGAGTATTTCATCTTGACATGTGCTTTCATGGAACCAAACGTATAAAAGAAATATGAGGAAATCTGCATTGACCTTTTTATTTGCTGTGAGTGTATGTGTGTGTTGGTGTGTGTGTGTGTTTGTGTGTGTGTTTTTGTGTGTGTGTGGTGTGTACTTATTAGTGTGTATGAATGCATGTGTGTATGGAAGCCAGAAGTTGATGTTGAGTGTATTTCTTTGATTGCATTTCACCTTTATTTTTTGATACATGGTCTTTCACTGAACCCAAAATTCATCAATTTGGCTATGCTGTTTGGCCACTAAACTCCACCTTTCTCATTCTACGCTCCCAGATCTCTGGTTACGGGCACATGCCCAGTGTTTTTTTTTTTTTTTTTTTTAATTTATTTTAATTTATTTTGCAATACAATTCAGTTCTACATATCGGTCACGGATTCCCTTGTTCTCCCCCCTCCCGTCCCCCTCACCTTCCCCCCAACGCCCCCCCCCCCCCATTCCCATCTCCTCCAGGGCAAAGCCTTCCCCACAGACTGAGGTCAACCTGGTAGACTCAGTCCAGGTAGGTCTAGTCCCCTCCTCCCAGGCCGAGCCAAACAATCCTGCATAGGCCCCAGGTTTCAAACAGCCAACTCATGCAATGAGCACAAGATCTGGTCCCACTGCCTGGATGCCTCCCAAACAGATCAAGCCAATCAACTGTCTCACCCATTCGGAGGGCCTGATCCAGTGTGGACCCCTCAGCCATTGGTTCATAGTTCATGTGTTTCCATTCATTTGGCTATTTGTCCCTGTGCTTTATCCAACCTTGGTCTCAACAATTCTCGCTCATATAAACCCTCCTCATTCTCGTTAATTGGACTCCCAGAGATCCACCCAGGGCCTAGTCATGGATCTCTGCATCCAGATCCCTCAGTAGTTGGATGAGGTTTCTAGCACAACAATTAGGGTGTTTGGCCATCCCATCACCAGAGTAGGTCAGTTCGGGCTGTCTCTCGACCATTGCCGGCAGTCTGTTGTGTGGGTATCTTTGTGGATTTCTGTGGGCCTCTCTAGCACTTTGCTTCTTCCTGTTCTCATGTGGTCTTCATTTACCATGGTCTCCTATTCCTTGTTCTCCCTCTCTGTTGTTGATCCAGCTGGGATCTCCCGCTCCCCCAAGCTCTCTTTCCCTCGACCCTCGCCTTTCATTGCCCCCACTCATGTCCAGGCTGTTCATGTAGATCTCATTCCATTTCTCTGTCATTGGGCGATCCCTGTGTCTTTCTTGGGGTCCTGTTTTCCGGGTAGCCTCCCTGGTGATGTGAGTAGCAGACAATTCATCCTTGTTTCATGTCTAGTATCCTGCTATGAGTGAGTACATACCATGTTTGTCTTTCTGAGTCTGGGTTACCTCACTCAGGATGATTTTTTCTAGATCCATCCATTTGTCTGCAAACCTCATGATGCCATTGTTTTTTTCTGCTGAGTAGTATTCCATTGTGTATATGTACCACATTTTGTTTATCCATTCTTCAGTTGAAGGGCATCTGGGTTGTTTCCATGTTCTGGCTATTACAAACAATGCTGATATGAACATAGCTGAACAAGTGCTCTTATGGTGTGGTTGAGCATTTCTTGGGTATATGCCCAAGAGTGGTATAGCTGGATCTTGGGGGAGATTGATTCCCAATTTTCTAAGAAAGCGCCATATTGATTTCCAAAGTGGTTGTACAAGCTTGCATACCCACCAGCAGTGGAGGAGAGTTCCCCTAGCTCCACATCCTCTCCAGCATAAGGTGTCTTCAGTGTTTTTGATCTTAGCCATTCTGACAGGCGTAAGGTGGTATCTCAGAGTTGTTTTGATTTGCATTTCCCTGATGATTAGGGATGTTGAGCAATTCCTTAAATGTCTTTCGGCCATTTGAGTTTCCTCTGTTGAGAATTCTCTGTTTAGTTCTATAGCCCATTTCTTAATTGGACTGTTGGGCATTTTGATGTCTAATTTCTTGAGTTCCTTATATATTCTGGATATCAGTCCTCTGTCAGATGTGGGGTTGGTGAAGATCTTTTCCCATTCTGTAGGCTGTCGCTTTGCCTTGTTGACCGTATCCTTTGCTCTACAAAAGCTTCTCAGTTTCAAAAGGTCCCATTGATTGATTGTTTCTCTCAGAGTCTGTGCTACTGGTGTTCTATTTAGGAAGTAGTCTCCAATGCCAATGCGTTCAAGACTACTTCCTACTTTCTCTTCTAGCAGGTTCAGAGTAGCTGGATTTATGTTGAGGTCCTTGATCCACTTGGACTTAAGTTTTGTGCACGGTGATAGATATGGATCTATTTGCAGCCTTCTACATGTTGATATCCAGTTTTGCCAGCACCATTTGTTGAAGATGCTTTCTTTTTTCCATTGTGCACTTTTGGCTTCTTTGTCAAAAATTATATGTTCATAGGTGTGTGGGTTAATGTCAGGGTCTTCAATTCGATTCCATTGGTCCACATGTCGGTTTCTATGCCAGTACCAAGCTGTTTTTATTACTGTAGCTCTATAGTAGAGCTTGAAGTCAGGGATCGTGATGCCTCCAGAAGTTGTGTTATTGTACAGGATTCCTTTGGCTATCCTGGGTTTTTTGTTTTTCCATATGAATTTGAGTATTATTCTTTCCAGGTCTGTGAAGAATTGTGTTGGTATTTTGATGGGGATTGCATTGAATCTGTAGATTGCTTTTGGTAAGATTGCCATTTTTACTATGTTAGTCCTGCCTATCCATGAGCATGGGAGATCTTTCCATTTTCTGACATCTTCTTCAATTTCTTTTTTCAGGGACTTAAAGTTCTTGTCATATAGGTCCTTCACTTGCTTGGTTAGTGTTACCCCAAGGTATTTTATGCCATTTGTGGCTATAGTAAAGGGAGATGTATCTCTGATTTCCTTCTCCACTTCTTTGTCCATTGTATATAGGAGGGCTACTGATTTTTTTGAGTTGATCTTGTATCCTGCTATGTTGCTGAAGGTGTTTATAAGCTGTATCAGTTCCTTGGTGGAATCTTTGGGGTCGCTCAAGTATACTATCATGTCATCTGCAAATAGGGAAAGCTTGACTTCTTCCTTTCCAATTTGTATCCCCTTAATCTCCTTATGTTGTCTTATTGCTCTGGCTAGAACTTCAAGTACTATATTGAATAAGTATGGGGAGAGTGGACAGCCTTGCCTCGTTCCTGATTTTAGTGGAATTGCTTTGAGTTTCTCTCCATTTAATTTGATGTTGGCTGTTGGCTTGCTGTAAATTGCCTTTATTATGTTTAGGTATGTTCCCTGTATTCCTGATCGCTCTAATACCTTTATCATGAAGGGGTGTTGGATTTTGTCAAATGCCTTTTCTGCATCCAGTGAGATGATCATATGGTTTTTTTCTTTGAGTTTCTTTATATGGTGTATTATATTGACGGACTTTCGTATGTTGAACCACCCTTGCATCCCTGGAATGAATCCTACTTGATCATGGTGGATAATTGTTTTGATGTGTTCTTGGAGTCTGTTTGCCAGTATTTTATTGAGTATTTTTGCATCAATGTTCATGAGGGAGATCGGTCTGTAGTTCTCTTTCTTTGTTGTATCCTTGTTTGGTTTAGGAATTAGGGTAATTGTAGCCTCGTAGAAGGAGTTTGGTAATGTTCCTTCTGTTTCTATTGTGTGGAACAATTTAGAGAGTATTGGTATTAACTCTTCTTTGAAGATCTGGTAGAATTCTGCGCTGAAACCATCTGGTCCTGGGCTTTTTTTGGTTGGGAGACTTTTAATGACTGTTTCTATTTCGTTAGGGGTTATTGGACTATTTAAATAGTTTATCTGGTCTTGATTTAACTTAGGTATGTGGTACCTATCCAGAAAGTTATCCATTTCTTTTAGGTTTTCCAGTTTTGTCGAATAGAGGTTTTTGAAGTATGACCTGATGATTCTCTGGATTTCCTCAATGTCTGTTGTTATGTCCCCCTTTTCATTTCTGATTTTGTTGATTTGGATGCTCTCTCTCTGTCTTTTGGTTAGTTTGGATAAGGGCTTGTCTATCTTGTTGATTTTCTCAAAGAACCAACTCTTTGTTTCATTAATTTTTTGTATTGTTCTCTTTGTTTCTATTTTATTGATTTCAGCTCTCACTTTGATAATTTCCTGGCGTCTATTTTTCCTGGGAGACTGTGCTTCTTCTTGTTCTAGAGCTTTCAGGTATGCTGTTAAGTCTCTAGTGTGAGATTTCTCCAACTTATTTATGTGGGCATTTAGTGCTATGAATTTCCCTCTTAGTACTGCTTTCATAGTGTCCCATAAATTTGGATATGTGGTGTCTTCATTTTCATTGATCTCTAGGAAGTCTTTAATTTCTTTCTTTATTTCTTCCTTAACCCATTGGTGATTCAGTTGGGTATTATTCAGTTTCCATGAGATTGCAGGTTTTCTGTAGTTTTTGTTGTTGTTGAAATCCAACTTTAGACCATGGTGGTCTGATAGAACACAGGAGGTTATTCCAATTCTTTTGTATCTGTTTAGATTTGTTTTGTGGCCAAGTATGTGGTCAATTTTAGAGAAGGTTCCATGGGGTGCTGAGAAGAAGGTATATTCTTTTTTGTTAGGATGGAATGTTCTGTAGATATCGATTAAGTCCATTTGAGTCATGACATCAGTTAAGTCCTTTATTTCTCTGTTAAGTTTCAATTTGGGAGATCTGTCCAGTGGTGAAAGTGGGGTGTTGAGGTCTCCGACTATTAATGTGTGGGGTTTTATATGTGATTTAAGCTTTAGTAATGTTTCTTTTACATATGTGGGTGCCCTTGTGTTTGGGGCATAAATATTCAGAATTGAGACTTCATCTTGGTGGATCTTTCCTGTGATGAGTATGTAATGCCCTTCTTGATCTCTTTTGATTGATTTTAGTTTGAAGTCTATTTTGCTGGATATCAGGATGGCTACACCCGCTTGTTTCTTAAGACCGTTTGATTGGAAAGTCTTATCCCAGCCTTTTATTTTTAGGTAGTGTCTATCTTCGAATTTGAGATGTGTTTCTTGTATGCAGCAGAAAGATGGGTCCTGCTTTCGTATCCATTCTGTAAGCCTATGTCTTTTTATAGGTGAATTAAGTCCATTGATATTGAGGGAAATTAATGACCAGTGATTGTTCATTCCTGTTATTTTTGGTGGTGATGTGTGGGTACTTCTATACGTTGGGGTTTACTGCTGTGGCTTTATCTGTTGCCTGTGTTTTCGAGGGTGTATCTGACTTCCTTAGGTTGGAATTTTCCTTCTAGTGCTTTCTGTAGGGCTGGGTTTGTGGATAAGTATTGTTTAAATCTGGCTTTGTCATGGAATGTCTTGTTCACTCCATCTATGGTGATTGAAAGTTTTGCTGGGTATATTAGTCTAGGCTGACATCCATGGTCTCTTCGTGTCTGCATTACATCTGTCCAGGTTCTTCTGGCTTTCAAAGTCTCCATTGAGAAATCGGGTGTTATTCTGATGGGTTTGCCTTTATATGTCACTTGGCCTTTTTCCTTTGCTGCTCTTAATATTCTTTCTTTATTCTGTACGTTTAGTTGTTTAACTATTATGTGGCGAGGGGACTTTTTTTGGGGGTCTAGTCTGTTTGGTGTTCTATAAGCTTCTTGTATCTTCATAGGCATTTCCTTCTTTAAGTTGGGAAAGTTTTCTTCTATGATCTTGTTGAATATATTTTCTGTGCCCTTGAGTTGGTATTCTTCTCCTTCTTCGACCCCTATTATTCTTAGGTTTGGTCTTTTCATGGTGTCCCAAATTTCTTGGACATTTTGGTTCATGACTTTGTTGGCTTTAGTGTTTTCTTTGACTGATGAATGTATTTCTTCTACTGTATCTTCAACGCTAGAGATCCTCTCTTCCATCTCTTGCATTCTGTTGATTATACTTGCATCTGAAGTTCCCAATCGTTTTCTCAGATTTTCTATTTCCAGCATTCCCTCTGTTTGTGTCTTCTTCATTTTTTCTATTTCCCTTTTCAGGTCTTGGACTGTTTCCTTCATTTGTTTCATTGATTTTTCTTGATTTTCTCTCAGTATTTTATTGTTTTCTTCCAGGACTTTATTGATTTCTTCTAATTTGTTTGCCCTTTCCTCTAGTTGTTTACAGCGTTCTTCACATTTTTTTGTCTTTTCCTCTACACAAGCCTCTAGCTTCTTCATGATGTCATTCATAAGGCTGTTTTCTTCTGCTTCTTCCAATTTCTGATGTTCAGGTCTAGGTGTTGGAGGAGGGCTAGGGCCTGGTGATGCTGTATTGCTATTCATTTTGTTGTATATGTTTCTGCCTTGACGTCTGCCCATCTCCTTGTGCTTCGTTACTGGCCTTATCCGCACACTTGGTTCAGCCAGACCAGTGTTCCAAAAGGGAAGTCCGGAGCAAGATGGGAGCTGGGGGCCGGCCTCTAAGTCTCAGGAAGAGGCTTGGGGCTCAGGCGGATGGGCGTGGGGGCAGGGCGTGGAGACTGCAGGGCCTGCCAGGGGTCTTGGAGAAGGGGATCCTTCCCGGTGGGGCTAGCAGGGAACCTGCCCGGTGGCCAGAACCTGGGGCCAAGTTGGGTAGGTCTTCCCTGGAGTGGCTGGTGCCCAGGGATGGGGTCTGGGGCAAGGAAGGGTACTCACCAGTTTTCCAAAAGGGAAGTCCGGAGCAAGATGGGAGCTGGGGGCCGGCCTCTAAGTCTCAGGAAGAGGCTTGGGGCTCAGGCGGATGGGCGTGGGGGCAGGGCGTGGAGACTGCAGGGTCTGCCAGGGGTCTTGGAGAAGGGGATCCTTCCCGGTGGGGCTAGCAGGGAACCTGCCCGGTGGCCAGAACCTGGATGCCCAGCGTTTTTACATAGGTTGTATGAATGTGAATGCAGGTCTTCATGCTTGTACCAGGCACATTACAGACTGAGGCCTCTATTCAACTTCAATGGACTCTTAATGTAAAAACTTAAATTGGTCCTAAGACTATTAAAATTGATGATAAGTTTTCTTAAATTTTTATTAGGAAATGGAATATATAACTTCTAATATTTACTGGTCAGAACAAGTCAGATAGTCGTGTCTAACTTGAAAGGATATAGAGACAAGTATTCTCCTGAGCCCAGACCAGGATGCATCTATAATCAGTATACCTCCTGATTTTGCTAAACCATGGTATGGTTCACTTAGTTTATTCATTGAAATGTATATGATTAAATTAAATAAAGGTTATTTTAAAAAATTAAATTAATAAGTTGAATACATTGGTCACTTCCTGGGTACACGTGATTCTCTTAATTTAAATCATTTGCCTAGAAACCTTCCTAATTTACTCACATTGTGGAATTCACATTGATAAACCTTTTGCTCTGGGATTTGAATAATAGATGTTACTGTTGCTCAAAGTTTTATCTGATCCACTAAAACTGCTCACTATCCAATTCCAAAATTATTCTTTAGTTCAAGTTGGATAAGTTAAGAAAATAGGAAATACATAATTGGAGTAGAAGCATATTTACAGAGGTGTCTTTATTTTTAGGTGAGGTGCAATTCCTACAGACCAGAAGCTGCCAGAGAACAAGTCCAAATTGGTGCTCACAGTCCTCCACAATTTCGGTAAACGAGTAAATGGGTGACAGCAGGTTTTAACTATGCATCTCCACATTCTGTGCCCCCAGCCATACCAATGTGTTGCCAGATGGGAGATATGAACAAAAGTCTACACAATGAAATATATAATCTCCATTTTGTAGACAACAGAATCTGACCAAACAGAAACTAAGCATCTCTTGTGTCATTAGTAGTAAGCCTATCTTCTCAGTGTCTTTTCAACTACATTTCTGCTTAGTGTTACATCAAGTGAGGTTTCCCAATGAGGTTTAATCATGCTGAGGCTTCAAAAGTAATTGCAATCCAAATCAGTTTTAATATTAAGTTTCAGATATAGAATTAGAATTGCACAGGGCCAGAGAGTTGATTTGGTGGCTAAGAGCATTGCCACTCTTGTACAAGATTCAGGTTCAGGTTCAGTTTCCAGCACCTACATGATGGCTCATAACAACCTTGAACTCAAATACCAGGGGATCTTAGTTCTTTTTCCAGTCTCCAAGGCCTCCAAGCATGCACAAGGTACACACACATGCAGTCAAATATTCATACATATTTTATGCTTTTGGAAGACAATAATCCATAGATGCCATTAGTACATCAGATCACTGCTCATTAACAGGAATATTGGATCTGCCTAACCATCTATTTTAGCAGGGAGGTCTTGGCAAAAAGTAAATTCAAAATGGATTTTATGATCTCAGAAGAGGATATGATTTGATGAACAATTCTGCTTACAAGCTTCTAGAATTCTGCTTTACTCTGGTCTGTTTTCTGTTTAAAAGTATTCTATGTGATAGCTCTTGTTTTTCCCCCTACACTGTAAATTAACAAACAGAAACAAATATGCCCCTTTCTGAACACAAAGGAAGATATATATATATATATATATATATATATATATATATATTAATCTTTAGCAATTATAATTCATATCTAGAGTCAGAGACATTGCAATTTGGTTTTCATCTTGTATCACCCTTTGAAACAATTGCTTATACACGAAGGGAAAAAGATTAACAACTGTAATTTCAGAATGTATAAAATATTAAGTAAAAACAAAATTAAGGTTGATATTACTTATCCTGGACTAGGTTCTGTAGCTTGAGAGAAATTTCCTGCAGTAGAGGACAGTTAATTATACAGAGAAATCCAAGAAGCCATGGTAATTTATAGTTATTCTTTGCTTAGAACATATTATACCTGGATATCTTTATGTTTAATATTTAAATGAACCATTAGCATATCATAAGAAAGTCATCTAGGATATCCTCTATATTTTAAAATTTTATTCCTAAAACCTTGCTTTAGAAATGCTTCAAAATTGACTATAAATTACCCACTAGCATAAAACTCTAATCACTGTGCTGGAAATTCTCCCCCACTGGGCTGAACTGTCATGAAGGCTGACAATTTCTAATGGACTAAAATGTGCTCCCACTGAAAAATGCAGCAGATGAAACCACACAGTAGATTAATTACTCAACAGATAAGTTTTAGAAACTAATTTCATCTTACTAACTAGTTGCCTGAACTGTTGGAGTTTTGCTAATAATTTACAGAGTATACTTACTTATTATCAGCTGTATTCTATCTTTTTTTTTTTTTTTTGGTTTTTCGAGACAGGGTTTCTCTGTGTAGCTTTGCGTCTTTCCTGGAACTCACTTGGTAGCCCAGGCTGGCCTCGAACTCACAGAGATCCGCCTGGCTCTGCCTCCCAAGTGCTGGGATTAAAGGCGTGCGCCACCACCGCCCGGCTGTATTCTATCTTTAACACTTGCCTAAGGTGAATCACACCATGATATATGCATCCCTGCCTATACACCCCAACTAAACCCAAGAGATTATGGGGATTTGGTGGATACAGGCTGTTGCATTCATTCATATACCCAGAGGTAACAAAGTCATTAGGGAAAAACAGAATGCTGAGTTAAATTTTAGTAAACCCTTTAAATGTTCAGTTGAGTAAGAAATTGATGAGGGGGAGGATTTTGCCTGACTTCTTACTGATATCTGCAGTAAGTATAGATTTTGAGTGTAGAGAAAAATCACACAATGAAAATACCACTTCCAAAAGACAGTTACAATCAAAGTGTTGAGTAGGAATCTGCAGTCTCCATTTCAGTCAGGAACTCGTGCATGGACCAGGTTCTGGAGCTAAAACCCGGGGCAGGATAACTCATCTGTAACAGATTCTATTGGTTGATTCTTAACCAGATACTAGGTAGATGTGAATCTCCAAATTAGTAAGAATTTAGAGAAAGTATTTTTGTACATTGAATGCATTGTTAAAAACTAATTGGAAATGCAGCAAGAGGGATGGCTTTTATAATATTGTACTGAGAGAGAAAGAGCCAAAGACAAAGTTGTATGCAGTGGACATTCCATTCATATCAAGTTCAAACACAGGTAGTGTTGTGGTACTAAACGATACAGTAGATTTTCAAGTGCTTGAGATACCTTTCCTTGATCCCTGAATAGTAGTAACAGACACATCTGAAAAAAGAATAGTGCTTTCTGTATTTATGATTTGTGCCCTTTGTGCCAGCTATATACGTTTTAGAAATTAATTTCATCTTACTAACTAGTTGCCTGAAATGTTGGGGTTTTTTTTTGCTAATAATTTACAGAGTATACTTACTATCAATTGTATTCTATCTTTAACACTTGCCAAAAGTAATTTTTTTGAAATTAGAAAAAAGAAGTCTTGGAGATGATACAGTTGTGTAGGAATTCGAAGACTTGGAAGAGTACTAGGAGTCCTGGCCAGGCTTTGGGGAAATGTTGGTTTTCATTCTCGATGACATTAATTTCTTTTCTTAATTATCTGAGCTTTAGCTGTCTTCCTTGTAAACAGATTAAATGCATGCAAATGTTCTTTGGTAGCAATGGACTGTTTTATCCAGAATCTGTGGATGTGTATGAATTGAGTGACAATGTACTTTTGTCATCTCTTATTTTCAGGGTCAATGGTGCCATTAGCAACTTTGAAGAATTTCAGAAAGCTTTTAACTGTCCAAAGAATTCCACCATGAACAGAGGCGTGAATTCCTGTCGACTCTGGTAGCTGGAGTGCTGCTTTCTACTGTCCTGACAGAGCTGAGGAGTGCCAGTAGAGGTGGCTCTGATGTACTCAGCACCCACTGCTTTCTGCCTTTATTTCACTGAGGACTTTTATTTTTAATGCATTTTCATTATTTGGGTAGATGACTTGCTTGGATCTAAACAGTATCTGTTCAAAGTCCGTGGGCTTATAAAAGAATTCAAAAACTGAACCAAATATATTTCATTAGAAAGCCAAACCAATGAAAACAAATGTCAAAGCTACTTGGTTAAACTGGCATCCCTATTATCTGTTTTGGTTAGCCACAGCTAGGTGGTACATAGAATTTCAATCTGTAGCTTTGCAGGGGACCTGAGTAGAGTGTATCCATAGAAAGGATCAGTCTATGAAAATTGTCACCCTCAGTGATGAAGATGTATGCTCTGTGGTGTGCAATCAATATGTAGTATTTCTTATTTCTAAAGGTAGTTAAATTAGAAATTTGTTGGATCTCTATTTTATAATTTCTGATAAAGTTTTTCCCTTCAGTTTTGGAAAATTGTATCTCAGAACTTATATCCAATGTAACTAACCATTTAAGTCAGCATGAACAAAGATGGCACATAGTCCGTTAGGCAAAAGATTTGGGGTTTATAAAATAGGGGGAAGGGATGGATCTTTAACTGCCAGCAGTATTAAAAAATAACAACAAAACTAGCCACATAACAACAAAGGTTCTAGGAAATGAACTCTCCAGATGTTGGTCTAGTCCCTATGAAGCTCCATCTATTTGGTGGATACCAGTCATGGAGCAGTTCCTGTTTTGTTTTGGCATGCTCAGGTGTATCTCCTAACTCTGAACTGAGCAGACACTGAGAAAAGAATGTTTTGTTTCCATGTCAGGAACATATGGCTTTCATTCCCTTTAGTCCAACTATATAAACACCACACTGAGGAGGGAGTAAACGCTCTTCCATCTCAGCCCACTTAATGTTCCATCTCTGTAAAAGAAAATCCCTTTCAAAAACTTCTAGAAAGAATCCAATTTAAAAAATCCTGCCTAGATCTAAGGGACACAAATTTACTTTTTAAGTCTTATGAAGGGTTTATTTTTTTAAAAAAGCAGTACTGTATTTTGATCCTTAGAGCATTATTGTTTTAATCAGCACTTTTAGTGTTAATTAACTTAGTGTATATGTATGTAGGATAAAATTGTTATCACATTTAAGAGTGTGTGTAGGATGAAATTGTAATGGCATCCCAGTGGCTACTTTGTTTTCTTGTTTATTTTTATTTTTAGTTAGTATAGGCATTTTCCCTACCCCATCGCATTATTCATTGTACATGGGGTGCTGGGTTAAGTGGGCCAACAGAAATATTTCAAAAGCAAAATGACAAATTCAGATGAACCACAGGAGGTCATTTTGTATCCTTGTGACTTGTCATTCTTTGGCAAAAAAAATATAAGTGGGAGCCACGTCCTTTTGTAACCATGGGAACTTCCGAAGGGAAAAAAATGGAAGGGCACCATCACGAGGAAAACAATTACACTGCATTAGTCCGAGGAGAGTGATTTTCCCCTTGACTTCCTCCTCTCTGAATGGATACACTTCTGAAGGGCAGCAGCCTTTTCCTCCTCTTAACCATGGTTTAATGTGACCTTGATTTGTATTTCTAAAAACAAGCAGTATTATTTCAGGTGTTAGAAGTATATGTGCTTTTTCTCTGGTGTAAGCATTCTGATTTGATAATCCTCATTTTATTCCTGTACTTGGACACTTAAGAAGAGCTGAAGTTTGTCATGATTATATAAATAGTGCATTCCTTCTACATTTCCTTTTTAAAAATTCCAAAGAAACACATTCCTGCAGGTCAGAGAGAGTGTTTGATAAAGCTATAGAATTAAGACTTTTGAAATGGTATTGGCATTTGTTGGTTAAGGACAACAAGCTAGTGATTAGTTGGAGCTCTCCCAGTTTCTGGATGGCAGGACTAAGTAACTTGGTGTAACTTAGTTTATCAAGAGATACAGAATCACTTCTAGTAGCCACACACATTTTCTACAAGAACTAGGTTTCCAAATGTTTCGGTTTAACCCTCCAAATTACAGTATTGTTCTTCTTTGTGAGACTGATTTCTTAAAGAAATAGACACCAATTAAGTTGTAGTGAGAAGGTCAGACATACCTGGAGGGATGGAAGAAAAGCAGGAGAGCCACAAAGGCTTAAAAATAATTATGGAAAATCAAAAGGGAATGAAATATTGGCTCTCAGGCTAGGGCTGCAACAACACACTGCTCTGAGTCATAGAACAGCTCTTCGGCAAGTGGACTATTAACTGAGCATTTGAAGGAAGGAGGTTTTCTTTTTTATGTGTGGGATATTCTCTTGTGTGAGTCAAGGATTCTGTGTATTGAAAGCTGTGGTGTTTGGCCTTACTACCATTGCCCAAAGTTTGCTGAGCTTTTCACCAAGCACTCAGCATAGGCCTTCAATCCCCCCACCCCCCATTTATGAGATGGATTGGGACATGACTGATAGATGCAAGCTCAGAATTCGTAAAGTATCCTCCAGCTTATTTAGTGCCTTACCTCGATGGAGCTTAAAGCATAGCCCATAAATTTTACCTTATTTAGCCCTGGAGCATCGCGGAGAAGAAACGAAGAACTATGGCTTGCCAGACAGATGGTGCTCATGCTAGAGAACTGGGAAGGCTTAAAATTGCTTGTCAAATATCTCACAGCCTGGACAGATAGTCTTTGTGCTTTGGGCTTCTGACCTTTGGATTAACTTGCATCTCTTAGATTATTATCTTTCTTAATATGTTTATTCAACCCGTATTTCTAAAATTGCTTAGTATCTAGTAGCCACCACCTTTGATATTTTGAACATAATGTCTCAGTTGCATTTTAAATCATGGAAGAATACATGATTGTTTCATAGACTAACATCCTTATCAGCAGTGGCACTACCCTATTGTTTTGAAAAAAGATGTTTTCAGATTGTGCATTTAAAGAACAAATCTATGTGGTCACCAGCAGACTAGTGGTTGTGATTTTTTTCCTTTGTGAAACAATGAGAATCATCATTGCAAGGACAATAAAACATTGGTTAAAGGTTTTCTGTTGCCTTCTTTTTTGCAAATGATTACAACCTATTATGTATGTGAGTATTAAGGTGTGCTTTAAAAGATATTTGCTATAAAACTATACAAACCACTGCAACTATTTAAATTTCTTGCTTTGGCAATGTAGGACTTGAATATAGTGACTTTCTCTGTAGACAATGAGAGATGGTCATTACATTCCTTCTAGGATATAAGTCAGCAGATGTAGTTTATTTCCTTTCCAATAATATTCCTGCTGAGGGAAAGAGAGACCTCTGAGGTAGTGCTGGTCACACAAAAGCAACAATGCACAAGACCATTGCTATCAAAGCAAAGAATCTCTATGTGCTGTCTCTGTGCTTTAATAATACAGGCAATTTGTAGCCATTCATTCAGCACATGGTAACTGAGTATCCATTCTATTGAAATCACTAAGCCAGCTATATATATTTAGGTGGATAATATACAGTCTCTGGCTTGAATGGGCTGTCTGGTTTAACAGGGGATATGGATATTGTAAATGGTTATAATTGTACTATTGAACAGCATCTGATGATATGTAAGTACCTTGGGGTATGGTTTGGGACACAGGTAAAAATTATTCAACTCTCCTATTGTAGACTTTATCAGTCCACCCTCTGTCAAGATCCTAGCAAATTCCTTTGACAAGAAGGCCTAACTTACCTTCTGTGTACTTTTGTTTCTAGTTGGCTATGACTCTCTAGATACATACCTTCCTGCACTTGGGGCTTCTTTGTCCAATCCACTTTCAGTGAACTGTAATTTTTTCCTGGTGACCCTGAGACAGTGGTACAGGAATCTGAAAGGTTGACCACTTTTCCTGAATCCAAACAAATCTATAGGTATATCATACAGTTCAATGGAACCTGTTGGGATTTGTCTGAGAATGCAAATAGAGTTTCTCATTAATTATCTTTTTTTTTGGTTTTTTGTTTGTTTGTTTGTTTTTTTTCGAGACAGGGTTTCTCTGTGTAGTTTTGGTGCCTGTCATGGATCTCGCTCTGTAGACCAAGCTGACCTCAAACTCACAGAGATCTGCCTGCCTCTGCCTCCCGAGTGCTGGGATTAAAGGCATGCACTACCACCACCTGGCCTCCCATTAATTATCTTAAATAAATTCCTAGCATGTATATGGTAAAGTTCTGGTCTACAGGGTGCTGTGGGATGTTCTGTATGGCAAATGTGTTGCTAATTGGTCAATAAATAAAACACTGATTGGCCATTGGCTAGGCAGGAAGTGTAGGCGGGACAAGGAGGAGAATAAAGCTGGGAAGTGGAAGGCTGAGTCAGAGAGACACTGTCAGCCTCCATGATGTGAAGATGCCGGTAAGCCATGAGCCATGTGGCAAGGTATAGATTTATAGAAATGGATTAATTTAAGCTGTAAGAAAAGTTAGCAAGAAGCCTGTCATGGCCATACAGTTTGTAACCAATATAAGTCTCTGTGTTTACTTGGTCGGGTTTGAGCGGCTGTGGGACTGGCAGGTGAGAGAGATTTGTCCTGACTGTGGGCCAGGCAGGAAAACTTTAGCTACAACAGGGTCCTAAGTCAATTTACTGTGTCATGACATCATGCATAGGATGTAGAAGTGAGATGCTCTAGATTTAGTGGGTAATAAGTGGCAGGTTGTAGCCCGGTGGCCCCCTATTGGGGAGTTCACTTAACTTTCTGAGTTTCTAATTTGTGAACTGATCCACAAAATGAGACACACACACACACACACACACACACACACACACACACACACACAGAGAGAGAGAGAGAGAGAGAGAGAGAGAGAGAGAGAGAGAGAGAGAGAGAGAGAGACAGAGAGAGAGAGAGACAGAGACAGAGACAGAGAGAGAGACAGAGAGAGAGAAAGGAAGAGACAGAGAGACAGACAGACCATATACATACACACACACACACACACACACACACACACACACACAGAGAGAGAGAGAGAGAGAGAGAGGAGAGAGAGAGACAGAGAGAGAGAGAGAGAGAGAGAGAGAGAGAGAGAGAGAGAGAGAGAGAGCTGAGAGAGAGAGAGAGAGAGAGAGAGAGAGAGAGAGGAGAGAGAGAGAGAGAGAGAGAGAGAGAGAGAGAGGAGAGAATGTAAGACCATGGTTTGAAGGATGGAAAGATGACTATAAATGATAGTTTATCCCAGAATATCTCTAGGTTGTGGGCAAGAAGGAGAGACTTTGTAGGGGCAAACAGAAGCAAGAGACACAGAATCTCCTTTACCATGTTTTATGTAACTTAGATTTCAAGAGACTCAAGAGGTCCTGAATTTGCTTAGATATTCAGGTGCATATCTAAGTAGACCTCATCAAAATCTGAAGGAGTCTGATGAGTTTAGTTAGGTTTAAGATATTTTTCCATGCCTTTCCAATTTACCTGATTTCTTTAGTGATTAAGGTCACACTAGTTATAGCAACAGACAATCTTAAAGGCTTAGCTCAACTTCAGTTTATTTTGTTTTCATCACATTCATAATGGAGATTAATGACCATTGAACTTCTCTCCCCCAGCTGGTGATTTGGCAACCCAGGCTCCTTCAATACTGTGATTGTACAATATTCAAGACATGATTCGATACATGCTCATAAGCAAGAGGCTGATAGGAAAGAAATGGCCATGGAAAATATTGAATGGGAGATTTGTTCTGGTCCTGGGGAATGGTTTACATTACTTCTGTTTCTATTCCATTGGATAAAACTCAGTCATGTGGCTGAAGCCAATCTTTGGGGTGGATGCATCACATAGTTCGGCCATGTGCCCAGAAAGAGGAGAAAGTGGGTTGGGCTCTCAGCTGCTATCAGGTACCTTCAGAAGTGAAATCTAGGGCAGTACCTTTGAACTCTTCTGAATTTAGAAAATTGCTTTTGAACACAGCACAACGAAAATTGAAAATGCTATTGGTAGCCTGCAGTTTCTTCTGTAGGAGTCTTTTTAATTAACAGCTTAATTGGATAATTTAATCCCCTTTAGAATTGGAGATATGAAAAGGAAAATGAGATACTCCCTGTGATCTGACAGTGCTGTGCTTTACTAACATACCAAAGTGAGCTGGGAACTGAGCACCACAGAAGCATTACAATAACTTCTGATCAGAGAAAGAAAGCCTGATCTATAATTTTAATCATTCCTAAATGGTTTAGATACATGTCTAATTTGAACGTGTACTTTGTTTTCTTAATTGGATCAATTAAGAAGGTAACTGAATATAAGAATCTAGCTAAGCCATAGATTTACAGCTATGTTCTAAGCTTTTAGAGGATATCCCATTGAGAAAGGAAAATATGAAAATATTGCTGGAAGAGTACAGTATTTTCTAGTATTTTGAGAAAACTTATGTAAAATTAATTTTCATTTATCTATTATGAGATGAAAAATGCTACTCAGCCTATTTTGGTTTTATGATTCTGCCCCTGAATGTGTGTCCTAGAAAGGAAGGTGATTGTTCATGTATAGGCCAAAAATGTTGTTTTCTACTCAATTCTGAATTGAGATTCTGTTTTCACAGAGAAAGAACCAAATGGTCAGGTAAAAATCCTCAATTTGGTGGTCTGAGATGTGGGTCAGTTGGTAGAATGCTTGCTAGCATGCATGAATGTTGCAACCACCTCGACCAGCAAGGAAGACACAACACCAAGCTCTTCTTTCTGCCGTTTATTCAGGAACCTTGAACAATCTTCTGACCCCAGGGAAAGCCAGCCCACGCCCTTTATAGCCACTGGGCAACCAACCCCGTAGTGCCACGTGGACAATGCTGATAGGGTCAGACATACACAAGCAAGCCAGATTCTACACCCAAACCAAATAAGGAGTTGTTTATCCCAGAGAACACCCGCCATCGGGAAGGCAGAAGCCGGACGCCGGCGCCATCTTTGAGGGGCGGCCGTGCACGACTCTCTACACATGAAGTCCTAGGTTCAGTCCCCAGTAGTGCATAAGTTGGGTGTGGTAGTGAATGCCTGTAATTCCAGTACTTACTCAGGAGATAGAGACAGGGATCAGAACTTCAACATTATCCTTGGCTGCATAGTGAGTTTAAGGACAACTTAGACCAGAGGTTCTCAACCTTTTTTTCTCACCCTTTTTGGAGGGTGTCAAATGACCATTTCACAGCGGTTGCCTAATACCATTAGAAAACACATATATTTACATTATGATTCATAACAATAGCAAAATTACAGTTATGAAGTAGCAATGAAAATAATTTTATGGTTGGGGGTCACCACAACATGAGGAACTGTATTAAAGGGCCATAGCATTAGGAATGTTGAGAACCACTGGCTTAAGCTATATGAAACACTGAAAAAAGAATTCAAAATTAAAGTTATCTAAAATATTGCATAACATGTACAGTGCAATTTGACTAAAGTATCAGCAAATATCCTGAGAAAAAGAAAAGCATAGCGTATCATTTAGGAAGTGTATTGTGTTAATGTCCAAACTGTTTCGGAGGCAAATGGAATCAGGACATAGATAAGAGACAACTATTAAATCCCCATGGCATCTGATATATAACAAAACCATCCCAGAGCATACTTATTCCCAAACTGAGCACATTTTCAATAGGCATTTGTTAATGATTTTTTTTTACCTAGTAATCATAATGAAAGTAGCATCTGTTTGTTGACTCACATTATATCTAAGGTACTCTGCTAGGGCCTCCATTATAGCCAATCTTCACACCAATCATGTTGATAGTTAATATTCTCACTGAAAAGATGAAGGATACTTCTGGGACTTGCTAAGACTATATTAGCAATTGGAGGAGCCAAAAACAGTCAATTTTGTCTGATTCCAGAGCCTATTCTCTAATATTGTATTGGACATTGGGGGATGTTCACAAACATGATTGTGTAACTTACTGAAGATTATAGGTTATGCTTCTATGGTATTGTTAGAAAATAATGGAGTCAGTTTATAGAAATTTATATTTGATGGTAGTTTTCACCTTGAGTCCTTCAAAAAGAAATTTAGAAGGTGCTCCACACT